AAACTGGTCCTCAGGATAGAAGCCAGGGCCTTGTGCAAGTAAGTACTCACCACTAAAACTACATCCTGTACATATTTTCTGGTCCAAAAATTTGAGACATATTATATATTCTGGTTTTTATTTTATTTTTATTTATTTATTTTTTTGAGACCGGGTCTCACTATGTAGTTGAGACTGACCTGGAACTCACTATGTAGCCCAGGCTGATCTTGAACTCACAGCGATCCTCCGGCCTCAGTTTCCTGAGTGCTGGCATTACAGGCATGTGCCACCACACCCAGCCATATTATATATTTTGTTCTTAAACAGATGCATGTGTTAGCACTAGAAATTCATACTCCCATTAACCTACATTAGAGCAAAATAATTGTTTTTGATATGCAACAATCAACATCTCTGTGTAACACTATGGAATAATGAGTTGTAAAAAGGCTAGTTTTAAGTACAAACACCTTGGCATAAAAATGGCCTTCAAGGGGTGGGTATTTAGCACAAGCACAAGGTCCCAAGTTGGAACCTTCGCACCCACACCCCTAAAGGCCTCCAAAGTCCAGTTCCAGACTATTATTTCAACACTTCTTTTCAATACATTCCAGAAACATACTATCCTTCTTCATAACTTCCTAATTTTGCACAAGCTGTTCCTTTCCTACCTTTTGCTTTATAAAAAAAATAGGTACTACTTTGTATCCTAGGGCACAGTGCATGACATGGGGTATAGGAAGCACTCATGTATAACCTTTCCTTGGCCCCCCCGTGGCATCTGAAATTCATTCTTTTCAAGTTTTAATTTCTTTTTTTTTTTTTAAATAATTTTTTTTTTTTGGTACCCAGGATTGAACTCAGGCCCTTGCACTTGTGAGATAGGCAGTGGAACTACTGAGCCAAATCCCCAGCCCAAATTTTAATTTCTTTATATTTGGCTTTTTATTTTTTCATCCCATTAAGATGAGGGAATCAATTTTGTTGTTTTACACATCAGTTACCCATTCATTTTGACCAGTATCTTTTTTGTGGCAGGTCAATGTTGTCACTGAAAGGGACAGAGTTAAGGGTAAAGCATCCTCAAGAGTTTCATGCAAGACTCTTCCCCAGCTACCTGACTGGATTAACCAGTTCCCTTTGCTCATCCTTCAGCAGTCATGAATGATGTGCCTAGCATTTGGTCTAGATATCTGCATCATTTACACAAAGAAATCAAATGTAAAGATGGACTCTAGATATATTGTATACTATTTCTTTTTTTTGAGATAGGGTCTCACTATGTAGTTGAGACTGCCCTGGAACTCACTATGTAGCCTAGGCTGGTCTTGAACTCACAGTGATCCTCCTGCCTCAGACTCCCGAGTGCTGGGATTACAGGCGTGTACCACCACACCTGGCTTTACTGTATACTATTTCAACATCATTTTACCTGAATTTAAATTTAGTGATTAAAAAAAAGTGAATTTACTATGGCATGATTTATTTTTGGTCTTTTCTTGATCACTTTTTATAGTACTCTTCCTAAGATACAGTACTTATAAAATATTCTTTTAATAAACTATTAGGCAAAAGTCACTGTCAAACTGATTTGGATTGTATTTTACAAAAATTACTTTCCTTGCCAAGTGTGGTGGCATACACCTGCAATCTCAGCACTCTGGAGGCTGAGGCAGGAGGATCACTTCAAGTTCAAGGCCAGTCTGAACTACACAGCAAGACCCTGTCTCAAAACAAAACAAAACAAAATTTACTTTCCTTCTCTTAAAAAAATACGAACTTTTCCTGTCCTCAGTATACCACTCTTGAAAGTTTCCTGAAGATTGCCAATATAGTTCAGTAATCTCATCATTGCTTAGGATGGGTTTTTATCCAAACCACATTTAAAACAGTTAAAGGCTTGTATGATATCTTTTTATCCTTTCAATTATCTTTTTCAGGATCTGTTTTTTGAGTTTTCCCAATAAGAGATCTGGCTGAAAAATGCCACTCCATGAGGACAAGGACTGTTTTGTATACCACTGTGTCTTAAAAGCTTGTATCAGTGCATGCCTCAGGTGGCATATGGTAAAGATTTGTTAAATGAATGCACGAAGATGAAACGCTATATCAGTATTTTACTAGCCAACTTAAATATATGACTATATTTCCTTCCACTGAATACAATTAAAAACGATACTTTCGGCAGGTTTTTTTTTTTTTTTTGCTTTGGCCTGGTCTACATTTTAATAAAAAAAAAATTGTTATACACTCACACTATTGTTTCAATTCATCCTTGGTCATATCCTCCTTTCTACTCTTCATATCTGTAGTGTAAGTATGCTTACGTCTCAGAGAATTCCTGTGTGGCTTCTTTAGTGTCATTAGGTCCCTTTTCCTTTCCTTTTCATTTTGTACTGGGGATTGAACTAAGGACCTTGTGCTTGCAAGGCAGGTGGCGGAACCACTGAGCTAAATCCCCGGCCCTCCTTTTTCTTTTCTTATTGAATAGCTTCATTGATGACTGCTTGGCAGAACCTGGTTTTGAGAGCCTAAAATGATTACTTTTTCAGACCTAGGGTTTATTCTAAACTATTTGAATCTGTTCAGTGTTCACATTTGGAGTAGCACTGTTCTCTTCCTGGCTTGTATAAATTCTAAAGATTACATGGTTACTTTTCCTGACAGCTCCCAGTGGTTCTGTTTACTAATCAAGACTTAGCGATTGGTCATGTAAAGGTACAGGATCCCAATAATGAATGCAGCTGTATTGTATACCTAGATTGTACCAATAAACTCAATAAAAAGAAAAAAAAAAAAAAAAAAAAA